GCCAATGAGGATGATCTTTTTACGACTGTCGAATTGAATCCGTTTGTCTTACTGAATTCGGACTTTACGGAAAAATTGATTGTGTCAATCCAATCCGCAGCCCTGTCCACTTATCGAATTATTCTTGTCGCAATGTGCCATTTCTTCATCACGTCAACCGTTTTAGTCGAATAGATGCCAGTCTAAAACTTTCCACAACTACTTCCTCTTCTCCTATATTCTTTTTCGTTGATTAGTTCGTGTGTTTATGCTAGCCCTTCTTGTATTTGTCGATGTAATCCAAACGCAATATACACGTCACTGAGGTGACCGGGGGTGACGTGCTTCGGCGAGGTCATGAAAGAAATCTTGATGGCTATCGGCACTCTCGATTTCCTGGCGGAACCAAACACCTTGAAGGGTCAGATAAGTGTGGCAGAATGAGTGATGTGGGTCCATTTCTGACTGCCTGTAGAATTCTAGCGAGAACTAACATCAATGGACCCATTATAGGGTCGTCTTCTGCCATCGAAATTGTTTTGTTTCGAGCAGCCTTCTTTGCTTTAGAAGTTATTTTCGAACGCCCACGATACTTCGGAGGGCTTGCCACTTCAAATGGGCTATTATTTGCTAATTCCATAGTGTTGGTACCAGACTCGCCAGACTAGATACTAAACTCTCCTGACCATTACCACACACGATAGACTGGTCTGTTGAACCACTGAAGACAACAGGCTTGACTTCAACAGATTGCATATATGTCAACTGAGTAGGTGATATTTCTGCACTAATATTCTGATCCAAACTGCCATCACTTTTGTTTGTATCACTCTTCATGGGCTCACTTAATTTAAGTGGGTTGAAATCGCCTTTCTTGAAACGACGCGCTAGCTCCTTCAAAAAAATCATTGCAGCCCGATAATTTGCCATACTAAGCCTACCATAGACTCGCATATTTCGCTCACAGTAGCAAAACCTCGTGGTACTAGCGATTTGAAATCCTATGACGTATATCTCCAGTTAGAACGGGCCGTACTATGAATGGGCCAAGTGATGATATCTCTCACCCGCGATTTCTAAATCGAACGCAACTCGAACCGATGACTGTAATCATCATTGATTCAGCAATTGAGGCAGGATCACAGTCTCCATGGGGATTGCCTTCCTCAAAGAGAAGACACGGCGACACGGTAAGATCCGTGTAGTCATAAACAAGCACGAACGTGTCCAATCACACTTGGCTACAGAATATTCCGTGTTTGGTCCGTTCAGAGCGTCGTCACCTGTTGAGACGCTCATTACCGAGTACAAATCTGAGCCTTTCGCAGAAGACGTAGGAAGCACGTCCACGTGCAATTGAATA